TGACGACATGGTCATGGTGATGATGACGACATGGTCATGGTGATGATGACGACATGGTCATGGTGATGATGACGACATGGTCATGGTGATGATGATGACATGGTCATGGTGATGATGACGATGGTGGTGCTGACTGCCTCTGGCTGCTGAGCTGAGTGGAGTCATCTTCTCTCCCATCAGGCAATGGCACTCCCATTCTGTTGCCCTCAGCCTTGGCTGTGTGACTGTTTTCACCTGTGGAGGGAGGGAGGGATGACAGAGGACCCTTAGGACGTGTGCAGGGTTCCCACTTGCACCCCTCTGAGTGTCTCCCACCAGGAGGACTGCAGACCCCACATGGTCTCTTGTCTTCAGCTGGCCTGGGGTGGGAAGATGGTGGAGGTGGCCCTGCCGGGAGAGCCTGCCTGCAGCCTCCTGGAACATGCACAGGCACAGGCACAGCACTGAGAGATGTGCTGCTTGTTGCCTGAGTCTGAGCTGCGTGTGGGGCTGCAGTATTCATGTGGCCTTGTGGGGACCAGGCCTTCTGAGCCCCAGACAAGGGCTGTGCCGTTTGGTGCTCACAGTGGCCTTCTGCCACTAAGGCCATGAGTAGAGAAACTGAGGTACAAGGAGGTCACGTAATTGGTCCAAGCTCACCAGCTTGCCTGTGTCAGCTCCAGAGAGTGAACCCAGCAGCATAAGCTCATGGGAGGATGGTCTTACAGTGGGGCACATTACTGTCACATGGTTTGGAAGGAAGTGGCACAGAGTCCCCTCCATGTTGCTCAAGAAGAAACAACTGCAGAGAACATGAGGTCACTGACCAGAGCATCAGGCCCCGGAGTCACCGTGGGTCTCCGTGCCTCCTCTTTGCTCCCCCAGTCTGTTCTCAACTAAGCAGGACCGAGTCTACTAAACCAAGGTCATGACCCTCCAGGGTCCCCTCACTCACAGCAAAGCCAGAGCTCCCAGCAACCCCCAGGACTCACAGGGCCTGGCAACACCCTGCGCTGGCCCCACCTGTTCCCCACCAATCAGGGGGCTCCAGCCACCACCTCTGTCTCTCCTGATCCTCTCCTGCATCAGGGCCCTTGAACTTCCTGTCATTTCCAGAGTCAGGATTTCTGGCCGGGTATCTGCTGGCCTCATGCTCCGCCTGGAGGCACCTGCTCTTCGCCTGACCACCCCTCATGCACCCCCGGCCTCCGCTCTCCCTCCCCTGGTCTGTTTCCCCCCCCTTATCCTTTCATGTGCCATTGGATGAACCGCTTTACAGTTACACTCAGCCTCCAGACACGCTGTGTCCCCAGGACTTAGACCAATCCCAGCACACAGCTGGGGAGACTGGAGGCAATGCCATCTTTGCTCAGGACCAGTCCTCTGACCCACTGGGCCTGCGGGCTGGACAGCAATAGTCCTGCTGTGTTTCTGCCAGAGGAGTCACCTGGAGGCACCCAGCAGGTGGGACCGCAGGCACTGAGAAGGCACTCGGCTGTATGCGCAGCACGCACTGGGGAGGTGCCCAGCACTCCTTGGAGATCACCCTGGAGAAATAATGCAGCCCAGGGCTCTGCAGGATGGCAGCCTCCAGCACTGTCTCGGGGAACTGGATGAGGCCCATTACGTCTCCCGAGATGGAGCACATCCCCCAGAGAGACTGGGGCTCCCAGGCCTCCCACCCTTTCCCGGGCGGAAACAAACTCAGTACCCAGGTGACTCTTTCCCAGTAAGGAGATGCTCAGCTGGAGTTCAGAAGTCAAACCAACAAGGATTTGTGTCACGGAGAAACAATAATGATGTATTCTTTACACATGCAAATATATTCTGAGTGATACTTGAGCTTTATAATTATAAGATGCTAGAAGATAATGAAATTAAGATTTTAAATATCATGCCCTATTTAAATGGCAGTTGTTTTTGGCTGGATTAGGAGTCAGCACAGGGTTTCGCTCTGTTGGGTAAATACTCATCAGCCTGTGATGACACCGTGATTAGTGGGTCTCGGTCGAAATGAGATTGCCTTTGCTACCTGGAGCTCCAGCTCCTGGCGTCTTTCAGGCCACCTGGGAGAAATCACAGGACTACACAAGGCGTCGTGGTAGCACCGGGCAGGTTGCTGGAGCCGCTGAGAACAGCTGTCCCTAGCTCAGGGTTAGAGTCGAATGGGAAACCTGGGTAATTGGATCAACAGCCAGATGTAATTGCCAACAAACAACAGAGTGAAGTTCCGGCTGATGAGCTTGCAGCGCAATTATTTGCTTTAATGAAAGAGCACAGTTCGCTCCAGGGGCAGAAACTGCACACGGCCCGCAGTGTCCGTGCAGGTGCTCCGGACCCCCTGCAGGTGCAGCCCCGGCCATTCCTGCCCCAGTGACTTCGGGGTGCTCATCATCCCCACTTTAGGGGTGGAGGGACCTGAGGTTCACAGAGCCGCCTTCCTGTGTGCAACGCCACCCAGCGAAGGGCAGAGCTGAAATTCAGGCCTCATTCTAGGTCGTCTCCAGAGACGATTCTGCAAAGAAATCTGAGCCATTAGCGCCGCTCCCTACAGCCTCCCCAGTGCAGTCAGTGGCTAGGGCCTGGAAGAGGCGAGGCCCATCCACCTGCACAGAGGAAAACCTCCCTGTACTGCCTCCCACCCGGCCCTGTTCAGAGCGCCCTCTGCCGGCCCCTCGGGGAGGATGAAGACCAGAGCAGCGAGACCCCCCCCCCCCAGGCCCGCGCCCTCTAACGTCTGCGACGGGGAAGGCGGCGCGGCGCAGCCCCGCACGTGCAGGTGCGGAAGCAGCCGCACCTGGGTCCACAGCCCCGCCCCCGCGCGGCCCCTCAGCCGCCTTTGCGCAATCCCGCTTCACTTCCTTTCCTGTCCTGCCCCTCCTCTCCGTTTCTAATAGTGCAGTTAAGTCGATGAACTTTCTTGTCCCCAGATTCACAAGCAGCAGTGGCCACCCTGGGTGTGGGTCGGGAGTCGCCATGGGGCTGTCTGGTTCCACACGAGGCACACGGGGGAAGACAGGGAATCGGAATGAAGAGCAGGCCAGCTTTGCAGCGGGGCACAGAGCCTGGCCAGGGTGTCCACCTCGGAGCTGGCGGAGTGGCCCCTGCCTTAGGAGAGTCAGAGGCCTCTGCAGGGTGGACGCGACACGCCCGCAGGCGCTCAGAAAGATGCGAAGCAGAGCTCGGCCTCGCAGGCCCAGCCAGAGAAGGCTCAGGCAGGGCCACGGGCACGGACCCTCGGCCAGACCCCGGCCACAGGGGCAGCGCACGCCCGCAAGTTGTATTAGCTTTCCTGTGGCTCAGACACGACTCCTGACAGCTGTACCTCGAGGAGGAGAGGTTTAGTTTGCTGGAGATTTCAGCCCATGCTGGGGGGGGGGGGCTCCGAGGGAGAACCGTCGTGGCGGGTCGGTGGGAGGAGCAGGGGCAGCACCAGAAGGGCGGGGTGAGAGGTCAGATAGACCCCACGGCCGTGATCCCGCCAGGCTGTGTTCCACTCCCCCATGCGCCACACCGTGGGGTGAGTTTAGCTGCACGTGGGCTGCTCCCCGCAGGCTGGCAAAGTTAACCCTTGTTTGGGCCTAGGACATCGGCTGGGCCGTCTGCGGCGCGGGACGTCTGGCTGTGGGGTTGCACGGTGGCTTGGAGTGTGAGGGCTCCGTAAGAGAAGCGGTCAAACGTGCAGACGCAACTGGGTGCTGAAGAAAAGGAACTGCTCCACCGCGGCCAGGAGCTTCAGGACTGGATCGGGACAGCCAGAATGACAGTCGAGCAGAGTGACATCACGCAGGGAACGCCAGAGCCAGCTGGAACAGCAAACTGGAGGGTTCTTCTATTTCCCTGGGCAGGGACCCGAGGCACGGGAAGCGGGGTGACCGGATGCAGGGCCCTCGGGAGGGGAGGCCAGGTGAGGGCCTGGCGCTTCCTCCCAGCCCGGCTTGTTATCGCTGCTGACCCGGGACGACGTGCGGCGGCTTTTCTGGGTGGTTATTACGCGAACACACTCACGGCGGGAAACATCTGTTGTTGGACACAGCACTGTGGGCACAGCCGTGCCTGGTTGGTCTCTGTTAATTTCATTCATAAATCATGGGTTAAGTGGATGCGGGAGGGAGGCGCCGAGGCAGGGGAGCCATTTCCCCGCTAGGGGAGTTGGGGACTCGCTGCAGCCCTGCCGGCCGGCCGTGAACCCTCCCGTCCTCGCCTCATGGGCGCTTCACCCCTGGGAAGTCCCAAGGAGAACTCGGGTGCCTCCCTCGATACTGTTTCTCCAACCACTCCTGTGAGCACCCGGCTCTGGCCCAGCGCCGAGCTCTGACGGGGCTCCCAGTCGGGGTCCTGTCCCGGCGCCTCCCACTGCAGGCGTCACGCGCAGTGTCTCCACGCATCCTGCAGGCCCTGCTGGGGGCACAGGCTGGGAGGGCCGCGAGGCTGCGCTGCGGCGGGCGGAGAACGCAGCGTCTTTTGAGAAGCTGCTTCCGGGATGCCACTGAGCCCCACCCCCGAGCACAGCTTGGCCAGGGCGGGCACAGTGAGCAGGGCCGATGCTGATGCCCAGGCTCCCAATCTTACAGGAGGCGGCCCCGCAGCACCGGTGCGGGAGGGGCAGCAAGGCCAGCACCACACCCGGCCTCCACGCGCACCTGCACCTGGGGCCCTGCAGAACCCCGACAGCGACTGAGGGGGACGCACGGCAGGTGGGTGCGGCACAGAGGCAGCTGCTGGGGGCCAGCTGTGCTCCGGGTAGCCCGGGAAGAGAGCAGAGGGGGAGCTCTTCTCACGGGGCAGATCCACTCTTGGAGGGCGGAGCCGCCGAGTTGGAGGGAGGGGCCCGGCCCTGGGGTCAGAGCTTCCCTGGACCTCTGGACCCAGGGTCCCTCGTGAGGCTGAGGGTGGCCTTAAGCAGCGGGGCAGGAGGTGGAGGAGAGACAGTGCCCCAGAGAGTGCTCCCAGCTCCTCTGTCCAGGGGTGGCGTGGGCACTTGGGGTTGCCAGTGCTCCTGCCGCCTCGCCTCGCTCCCAATTCCTCAAGAATGAACCACGCCCCTCTGCAGGCCTCTTCTTCCTGTCTGTCCAAGGCAGCAGGACGGGGCCCGGGGAGCTTTTGTGACACTTTCAGGGATGTCACCCCACACCTGTCTCCCACGGACTGCCCCAGGGGCAGCAGCAGGCACTGCAGATGGGCACCCGAAGGCCAGCGGTGGCTGAGGGACACAGACACAGGCCCGGGACCCTCCGCAGGCGTGAGCCCAGGTGTGCACTGTCTCACCCTCACTGTATTGCTGCCGAGCCTCACTGAGCAGCGCTGCGGGGCCTGCTGGTCCCGGGGCAGGGTTCTCACTGACGCTTGCTTTGGGAACATTTTCCCTCTAATTTCTCTTTTAAACTGCAGACTTGGCAAGAGAAAAATACGCTTCTCTTTGCTTAATTCCAGTCCTACCAGGCCATGCTCAGCGCTCACAGTAGAAGGCTGTGTAAATTGTCACTCAGCCCACTGCGATCAGGAACATTTTCCACAATGAGCCATTGGGCAGGCACAATACAACGCAATGTTTTCCTCTGACTGCAGCATCTGTCAGTAAATAACTGGCATCATAATAATCAGCATTTTATTCTGCGGGTCCCAGGGTCGACAGTGACCGTGGCACGCGCCGAGGCCCCCCGGGCTCCTCATGACGACCTCCCTCTCTCCACGTGGGGCAGGTGGGTAGCTCTTGCCCACGTGGCTGGTGTCTGCTGTGTGATGCTGGGGAGGCCCTGGTCGTCTCTGAGCTTCGGTTTCATTACCTGAAGGGGAGGGAGCGGTGGAGATCGAGGTCTACAAACCTGTGATTCATTAGCCAAGTGATGTTTTCCAGCCGTGTCTGTTGTTTTATTTTCCCATTGGAACGCGTTTGCAGGGCACAGCGGCTACATTCCTCACGGGAGCTGAGGCACCATCGCAGACAGCTATGGACCGGGCTGGAGTGTCCAGGCAGAGGACTGTTCTCCTCCATACATAAAGAACTCAAACAAAAAGGAGACCTCCCCAAAATAAAAGAACCAATCAAAAACAAACAGCTGAAATGAAGACACCTCTCAGAAGAAGAAAAGCAAAGAGCCAATGAATACTTGAAAATAACAGTCAGGACCTCTAGTCATCACAGAGACGCAAATTAAAGTGACCCTGAGATTTTCTCTCACCCCAGGAGGAATGGCCATCATCCAGGAACCAAATGATAGCCAATGCTGGCGAGGCTGAGGGGAAAAGGGAACGCTTGTCACGTTTTTTTTTGTACCAGGGATCGAACTTAGGTCCTTGAGCTTGCAGGGCAGGCGGCAGAACCACTGAGCTAAATCCCGGGCCCATGCGTCTCACTTTTAAGCAGATGTTTGCGATAATAATGATTGCACTTGCTGCAGGAGTTGGTGCGTGGACACGAATCATTTGCTTAGTTTCCAACCCCTCCCACCTGCCTTGCTCCTTCCAACTCTTGGTCCCTTTCTGTTTGCAAAAACTCTCCATATTTCTCTTCAGTTCTTTTTTTCCTGTCCCCTTTCCCCCTCCTCTGTTTCCCTCTCATCATCTCTTGTTCCTCTTTCCATTTAAAAAAGCTCTCTCTATTCCCTAGTATCTATTTTTTATTTTGCTTTCTATTTATATTTTGGGTTTCTTATCTGAGAGAATCCATGCAACATTTAAGCTCGCGGGTCCGATTTGTTTCACTTAACATTATGGTCTCAAAGTGCATCCATTGTCTTACGAACACCTCAAGTTTACCCTTTGTTAAGGCAGAGTAGTGCTCCACGGTGTGTAAATATCACACTTTCTTTATCCACCCCCCTGCCCCCCGGACATCTAAAACTGACATTAAGCCGGGAGATGAATACATTCGGCGAAGCCCCAGGTCCTCAGAGCCTGGCTTCTGGATTCCGCACATGAAGTGACTTCTGTCTTCACCCACCTTCCCTTGGAGCTCCTCACAGTGGCTTGCAGTCAGCCCATCATTCTGTAAATACTCCACTATGCATCTCTAAAGTACTTTAGATTTTGTCATAGTAACATTAACTGCTAAAATGGAGCACGGACATTCAAATCTCCGGTGTTCCAACTTCCTTTCTTCCGGACGCATCCTACACCTCCCTGTCCTAGTTGCCTTCCCGGCCTGGCCCGACCGCAGAGCCTGCCAGGAAACTTCCGGATTTGCCAGTCGCAAGGAGCGTGACAGCTCGGTGTAGAGGAGATGCGATGCTACTGCGGCTGGGGCAAACTGAGTGTTTGTTACCTGCTTGCCGTTACTTTTGGTAAGATTCTCCTGTGTGACTCTTGTGCATGTTCTACTTAGTTTTGATGCCTCTACTTTTAGGAACTATAGGTGGAGGATGTAGCCTCTTCTCTGGTGTACTTTGCCTCTTTTCTCCATTTGCATTTTGTTTATTTTGTCTTAAAAATTTTTAAGTAGTCAGCTTTGTCAGTCTTCTTGCCTGAGTGCTTTTGAATGTGAGTCATTTGAAGATATTTTCATTTTTCCGAAGTTATAAAGAAATTCACTTTTTTTTTTTGGTGATGCTGGGGGTTGAACCCAGGGCTTTTGAATTGAGCTACATCTCCAGCCCTTTACATTTTTTTTTAAATTGTGAGACAGGGTCTAGCTATGCCACTAAGTTTCCCAGGCTGGCCTTGAACTTGTGACCCTCCTGCCTCAGCCTCCCAGATGCTGGGGTTGCAGGTGCGCCTGCTCCATGTTTTGCTGCAATGCCCATGTGACTGTCTCCTGCCTGCCTGCCTGCCTGCCTGCCTGCCTGCCTTCCTTCCTTCCTTCCTTCCTTCCTTCCTTCCTTCCTTCCTTCCTTTCCTTCTGCCCGTTGCTTTGGAAGTACCTTATGTACTTGGAGTTCTTGTAGATTGGGTCCAAGTTGATTTGCTTCTCCTTACTTCCATCTGGTTCTTCTAAAACGGTGTACCGAGGGTCTCCCGCTGCTCCTGCTGTGTGAACAGCTGCACAAGGTGGCCATGAGGTGTAGATGCTACAGCCACCCCTCCCACGCTCCCTGGCCCTTCTTGGTATTCCTGCTTGTTTACTCCTCAAAACTGAACTTCTCAAATCAGTCTCTTTACTTCTAGGAAAAAGGCTTATCTTATTTTCATTGAAATGACATTATGCTTATAAATGAAATTACGAAAATAGGACATCTTTATGATGCTGCATTTTTTTCACCCAAGAGGATTGTCATATGGTTTAATCCCTAGAAACTCCCCTCTCAAACAATGGCAAAACTACCAGAAACATGAAGAAAATTTGAGGAAATAGCATGTGAAGTGGCAAAGAAAAAATTCAATAAATATCACATACACTAGAAATGAGTTCAACAATATAAGAGAAGATAAAACCATATCCTCCCTGTGTGTTATTGGTAGGAGAGTGAGACACTGTGTTAGGAAAAAGCACAATTGCAGAACTGAGATCAGTGTTCTCTGCTCCTCTGCACCCACCCCCGTCCCACCATGAGGCTGTGACCATGCTGTGTGAGCTCCGTGTCCATGACCCAGTCTGTCCCATGGTCATGGCCACCCCAGGGACCCAGGAGGATGGGGAGGTTCGAGAAGCTTCCAGCCTCCCTCTCCGGTTGCTCCTCAGAAGCCCTGTGTACAGGTGCCTGGGGTCCTCAGCTCCCCCTGCCCTATGGGCAAGTCCCGCAGGGCACGGTGAATTCCTAGGTGGGCCAGGCCCATGGCCTGCCCTGTGCCCAGCCCCTGGGTGGCTGCATCCTTCAGCGTCTATGAGGGCACCTGGTGCCAGGGGACAAGGCTGTGGGGCGGTGGGCTGAGCACCAGGGACAATCCAGTGTGGCTGGCACCGCCATCCCTGCAGTGCTTTGGAGTCGCTTTCAAGTGTGCAAGTTGGAGAAAGCCCCGAGCCCCCCTGAGCCTGGGATGCTCCTGTGAATGCCACCAACTCTGTGCCCTGGCCCTGCGGGAGGGGAGAAGAAGAGGCTGTGCAGCTGGGAGGGAGGATGGTGATGTCCCACAGTCCTCCAGACCCTCCTCGCACCCCAGTGCAGCGTAACGAATCTCCATCCCTCACAGCCCGAGGAGGAAGGGCCCAGGGTCCACACCACGCTCTGCCTTGTGGAGTCCGGGAGCGAGTTCTGAGTCAGTTACAGTCTCCTGTAATGAGCCCACGCTGTCTATATCGTTGTTGAGCGTCTTCAAGACAAGCAGCAAGGCTCCCTCCTGCAGAAGGCCTCGTGGCAGGAGCAGGAAGCCGGGCCACTTGTTCCCTGCTAGCGGAGGAACACGCACGACCAGAACACTGGAGGGGTGGCTGTCAACTGTTAGATGAGACACGGCCTGGGCTTGGCCGGGTGTCCCTTCCTGTCCTTTTGGACACTCATCGTCGCTGTCAACACCGCGGGGGTCCAAACCTAGCCCTGTCAGTCCCCCCCGGTTATGTGGCCCCGTCTGTCGCGGAGCGACGCTCTAACACAGTCTCAACTTCCGCCAGGCGCCGGGAGGCCCGGAAGGCCTGAGCTGGACGGCGAGATCAGGTTCAGAGGGCAGGACCCGCTCGGGCGCCCCGGGCTCTGAGCAAGGATGGCTATTTCCAAGCTGGGAAACAATTATTTGTATCCATGGCTGGGCACCAGGCTTGGGCCTCGTGTGGGCTCACCCAGCAGGCTGGGAAGAGGGAGCTTGCGTGTGAGAATTTATTTCCCCGATGCACGGCAGAGCGGCTGCGCCTCTCGCAGGGCCAGGAGAAGCCCCCTGGTTCCCGGGGCCCTGGAATTGAATCCCAGGCACCCGTGGCCACTGGCACGGCTGGGAGTCTTTCTTCATTGAAACCGCCCACTGCGTACATCCAGGCCCGAGCCGTGGCGCTGATCTGCGTCTGTGTCCCGGGAGGGCCTCACCGACCTCCGCAGAGAGCACGCAGGCAGGAAGTGGCCTTGGAAACGGCACAGAAGCGACAGGGCTGTGCTCCGAGGTCAATTTCATACCCCGGTGACGTCAGCCGGGCTCCGTATTGCACACTTTCAGGCATTTGGGGAGGGACACACTCATCTCCAAGAAAACTCTCCGGGCGGTTATCCTGGGCTTCACAGTTTCACAAGGACTCGGTGCTTTTGGGATCCCTGAGCCACCTCATATTAATGTCAAGTGAGGCTATTAAGACCCTAAAGGAGAGGAGTTACTCCCCATACAGCAAGAATAAAGCTGTGAGCTGGGGTCGGCTCAGGAGCTCTTTCATGTACCAAGCACCCAGGTTTCCTCTGTCTTACCCCGCACCCTCTTCCTCACGCTCCTTGGTTCTTCCTCTTGTCACCTTGTGGTCACAAGATGACTGCTAGAGCTCCTAGCATCACATCCTCACCCATTCAAGTCCAAAGCCAGGAGGAAGGCCAGCTCGTGAGTGGATGTTTGTGTGTTTTAGTCAGGCATGAGTTTATTTCCTTTATAACATGACATCAATAAATTAGCATTTCAAGGTGGTGCAGCCAGGCCATACGTTTGTCTCTCTGCTGTGTCATCATTAGCCCGTGACTATTGCCTTGCTCTATTTCATAGGAAAGGGGATGAGGAAGAGTCCAAAGGGCAAAGAGAAGATGTCAAATGGTTTCTGGGTTTCTGTGATCTCACGTAAGACACACCCTGTGACCCCTGTCTGCTTCTCACTGCCTGGAACTGCAGGCCGTGTCCACCCTAACTGGATACGGTGTCCACACATACTTTCTAAACTCCCAGGCTGGGAAAAATTAAGCTTTTGTTGTTATGGAAGAAGGGCAGACTGGCAGCATGACAATCAGCTGTATCTGCCAGGATCCCACTACATGGATGAGGGTACTGAGATGTGGAGACACTTCCTTATTTTTCCAAAGTTACATAGGAGGATCAATTCCTGAGTTTTTGTGGTCCTTGAAGATGAGCCTCTCCCAGTGAATAGACAGGATGTCAGGGCTAGTGACACTCTAGAAACTGAAAGAATTTAAAAGAAATTTTGGACGTCAGTCAGCTTTCCATTGCTATGACAAAATACCTAGGATAATCAATTTACAGAAAGGAAAATTTCATTTTGGCTCATGGATTCAGAAGTTTCAGTCAATGATTACTTGGCCCTGTAGCCTTTGGGCCACCTCATGGCAGGAGGCATGTGGAGGAGAAAATTGCTCACCTCATGGTAACCAGGAAGGAGGGGGGGGGGCATTGGTTCCACCATCCCCTCTGAGGCCACACCCCCAGGGACCTGCTTCCTCTCACTAGGTGCCCCTACAGGGGTCATCATCCAGGGACCAAGTGTCTTTGTCACTTTTCCTGTCACTGCGACATAATATCCAACACCCACAGCTTACAGGAAGAGAGGTTTATTTTGGCTCCCATTCAGTCTGTAGTCAGTGGGCTCCAAGGCGGGGCAGGGTGGGAGCGGGCCATGGTGGAGGACAGCTGCTCGTGTCATGGGGACGGGAAGCAGAGAGAGTGAGGAAGGAGCTGGGAAGAGAGAGAAACCCTTCAGGCCACGCCCAGTGACCACCTCTTCCAACCAGGCCCACCTCCAACAGGGAGTCAGCTCTGAGCCCCCTTGATCCAACACCTTCCAGAGCCACCCCTATGAGAGGTGGGGTTCTTGGGGGGTCTAGACATAAACCCTACCCCAAGCCTCCAACACGTGGGTGTGGTTCGTTACTCCCAAGAGGGGCCTGTGGCCATCAGCATGAGCCATGCCATAGCCTGTGACCCTCACCTCCAGAGCCTAAGTCCCGGCCTAGAAGCCTGGGTGCCAGGAGATGTTACACTCAGGCTCTGGTGCCAAGGGTGGTGCTGGGTGGGGGACTCCAGGGTCCTCAAGCTCCCCTCAGGAGGGTGAAGGGCACAGGGGCCTGGGGGTGGCTGGAGTCTGAGGAAGCTTTGCACCACTGAGCCCCAAACCACCTTCCTATGGAGGGCAACTCAGGCAGAGGGGCCCGGAGCTGCGCCCACTGCTGTGCCCAAGGGTGACCGAGGCCACGGGCAGAGCACAGAGCAGTCAGGCTTGGTTAGAGATAGCAGCTGGAGATCTGGCCGTGTCTGTCTTCAGGGATAACACGAAAACTCCACAAACCCCAGTAGTTCAGATGTCCTCGATTTGAAAGTCATTATAATTGAGAACAAGCAAGATGACAGCTCATTAAGAAAAATATTTGATGAGCCAAGAGAAAGGGTCCAAGTTAACATTATAAATGTGGTTAATGAGCAGAGTGACGACAGGCTCTTCAGGGAAAACAATGGCAACAAACTCCTACCCCGTTCATGTTGGCTGAGGAGAGGACACGTCTGTCATCATTGGGACTTTCAGAACGTCTGAGGCTGGGTGTCCCTACGATGCTGATTACCTTTGAAGTGAATTTGATGTTTCTTTCTCACATTCCTAGTGCTTTAATCTCCTTAACCAGTATGAACTCAACAGCCCCCGTTCGGCCAGGACCGGAGAGGTTTGAGGTGTTGCCACTTGGCTACCTGACAGAATTCGCTTTGGAAGGAGGGAGTAGATAGTCTCTGAAACCAGAAGTGGGGCATTGGCTGCTTTCTGGAGACCTGCTGTCTCTTCTGGAAGAGCTGAGCCCTTCCCTCTGGCTTTAGACTTGGTTAGGATCATGGTGAGCTGTCGCCCGGTCTCAGAGGTGAAGACTGGTGCTGTAACCTGTCCTGACCCCAGTGCACAAGCACCCTGTTTCATCCAACTCGCTCGGGTGTCGATGGCCTTTTCAAGTCCATTTCACCTCCTGTCAATGGTGCCATCCCTAGGCTTCGAGCTCAGTCTCTTCTGGCTGCTTTAACAAAACCCCCAGGATAATGAGCAGCAGAAATGGTCACTCCCAGCCCAGAGTCTGGAAGTCCAGGGTGTGAGGCCCCTGTAGGTTTGGTGTCCGGTGAGGCTGCCTCCTGGCCTTAGAGGGCTCCTTCTCCCTGTGTCCCCGCCTGCAGGAAGGGCTGGGCAGGCTCTCTGGGGCCTTTCCTCGGGGCACTAACCCTGTGCCTGAGGGCCCCGCCCTTCAGCTCTAAATCACCTCCAAAGGCCACCTCCTAATGCCATCACATGGGAATTGGGATTTCAACAGCTTATTTTTGGAAGGACAGAAATATTCAAAGAATGACAGCTTCTCAAGACCGGGAGGTTTTCTCCCATCTTGGAATGACATGGTGGGTGTCTATGTGGAGACAGAGGAGTGGGCAAGATAAAGACATACCCTTTGGGGTTCTGTGCGAACAGAGTCTGGACCCTCCACTGACTGTCCTGATCTTCTCCTTATCCTTTTTCTTCTCATCCAGTTTTTAAGGGCTGTACTATGAGGGTGTGATGCCTGGGTATGTGGCAGCTATCTTGTGACCATGAGGTATCAGCTGAAGACAAAAGCCAATCTGATTTCAATCGCCCCAAACCC